TATTATTGTTGATTAGCAACACTTATCTATCCTAAATTAATGATCATGAATTCATTTGAGAACTTGTTTCTAATGATGATTTAGGGATTGTCAATCTGAACAGTTAATTTCATTCTAGGAGGATTAGATGTTATCTTGATTGATTCCTCCTTCGAAGGTTGAATAATGATTCTACTTGGTGGTTTCTTTTGATTCACAACATTGTCTATATTATAGCCTTAAACTTTAAATGAATTTGGATTTGTGAATGGTTCCTGTAAATTCTGAATATAATCAATAATTCTTAGAATTGGTTGTTATTAATAGTCAGCCACAATTTAGCTTATTTTTGCATCAACTCTAATGATATCTCTATTTAATTATGCTTTTTTTGACAATGGTTCGATTAAGATGATCTTAACAAATAGCAAGGACTCTCCCTTCTATTTGATTCCCACAATTTAATTTGATTTAATCAAGTGATAATCTTCTTCTTATGTTAATGTATATGGATGATTAGTTAAATCATTAATTTATAGGTTTCCTAAATTAACTTACATTTATAATTCATCTTAATACTTAAGCATTTCAATAAAAGAGTTTTAAAATTGAATATCTACAAATGGCAATTTGGTAATTTCATGAACAATAGACAAACTGATTTGGTTGATTTACACATTCAATTTTAATAATAAAAATTGCTTCTCTGCTTCCAAAAACTCCTTTTCAATTTTATCTAATTGTTTCTCCTATTGATTTTAAATGTTATCATTGCTATTTATAAATTATAATAGATATGCAAATGTCTCACTTTTAAAATTGATATGCAATTTACCAAATTTCAATTCTATTTATTAATCAATATCTTAATACTTCCTGGAATTCCTGCTAGTTTAATTAAATAGTATTTCAATGAGTTCTCCATTCTCTTTCTCGGATATAATAAGATTCTCCAATTATTTATTATTATATTATCTCAGGCTATCTTGAAGTTGTAATCCTGAAAGAGTAAGTTTAACCTATAAGAATTCAGAGTGTATTTTCATTCCTAATGACAAGTCCTTCGTTTTCATTACTAAAAATTACTTAGAATTAGAATCTTATAAGTTAATTTAGACAACTGATATTGTGAAATTGATAATCTATTCAAATTCAATAGGTTTGACCTTTTATTTCTCTTATTTATCTTCTAATTGTTTAAGTAATTCTAACTCTTCATCTTTCAATGATGAAATCTTTTGAATCCAATCTTATATTTGACTTTAATTTTATACACCGATTTCAAATTAATTGTTTTCAATTTTTACAACTAAAACATTCATTTTGTATTCATCCATTCCTTTTTCAATAATATTTGAATTTTTTAAATATTTAATAAAGTTAGGCTATTAGGATTTGGGACTTGAGTAAAAATATAAATATGAGCCACTCAAGACACAAGTGTATTTAACCCATTGATTCAATTAACCTTCCTTTATGTAAAGTGGGGCTATCTTTATAGCATTCTCTATTATTTTAGTTTTTTCAACTTCCTCCTATTTAGTTTATTTTTTGTATTCTTCAGCACTTACTGTTGGAATAAAACAATCTCCAATCTTAGTTAGCTTTTAATATATCTGCGGATTCAAATTGGTGATAATATCTTAGATACTCGCATTCACTGTAAGATTTTAGTTCTTTTGATTTGGTAATAAGATATCCAAAACAATGGTAAAGTTGTCAATTACACTATATTGATTTTAAGATTAATGTTTCAATCCAATATTTGAAAGTTGAATTTTATACAATTCTTAACTATTCACAATGCTACTATTAATGTTGACTAAACCTGGACAAAATAGCCAAGATTCTTAAGAATTGTTTAAGGGGAGTTCAAAATAGAATTGATCCATTGTGATATTAACCCATCTATTCTTTTCAACAATCACTTAATTAGCCAATGCTGCTTGAGCATTCTGTTTAAGTTCTTGAATTGTGTCATCTGCCATATTTTTAATCTGATTTGATTTCAATTCTACATCACTAAAGTCACTTAATACTGTTATTAAATCTGGATGAAACCTTAACTTAGATGATCTTGTTTCTAATTAAATATAAGTAGTAATGGATTCAATAATTTTGAAATTCAATAAGAATATAGGTTTTGATTTATCATTACTTGTATTTGTAAGGAATTATTAATCATTAAATAGAACTATCATGTCTATTAGAGATAGATCCAATATAAGATCCTTATCTGATTTCAAGTCACATATTAAGTCTTTAAACAGAATCTTAATTTCATCCACCTTCTATTATCTAGGATTACTTAAAGTAATTGTTCCTTATCTCATTTTACCACTCACTACTATTTGTGTCACCTTCCCTTAATTTTATTAAGATTCATCCTATGAGAAATTCTATTATAAAAATTTATAGATTTCTTCTGATTCTTCATCCTAAAGTGTAGGTGTTTCATTTTATTACTGTTGTTTGCCCCTTCCAAACCAATTTTATAAGAATCCTTAGGGTTATCTCTTTTTCAAAGCCTTTTATTTCATGTCTTCATATTATTATTCCTTAATTACTTCCAAAACAATTGGTTTGATTTCTTTGATCTGAGTTTTCTCTAAAATAGCACAAAGCTCTAATTTCTACTCCTTATTAAGTCCATCATTGTATTTTTTATCTAATTATACCAATTGTAATAATTGTTTAACTCTCTTTTGATCCATCTCATTCAATGGCTAGATCATTTACTATTATCTCTAGAAAGAGAGCTTAGCTCTATTGTAAGAATTCAAATAGTCAGTTAGATTGAGGATTTATTAGACTTAAGGCTTTGAGAAATTAATATCAAATGATTGTAAATCCAAATCAAATTTGTAGTCTGGAAGATTCTCGCTCTACTTTGGTGGTTGTACAACCTTGCTTTACAAGGAGAGTCTAAATAGATAATCATTTTTCGGTATTTCTTCCTAAAATTTAGACTCATCATATTAAATTCCTCCCTTCCATTACCAATAGAATCCAATATTGCTAATTTATAAACTCTTGATCAATAGTTAATTTTTATTGGATGTCCTATCAATAAATTATTCAACACCCTACTCGTTCACAGTAAGCAAGGTGAAATTCTGCAATACAAAACCATAGCTGATTTATCCATCTTCAACTCTGATATGAATATTTTAAATGCGTATCTATAGATTTTCAATCACTCTAATAATAATTCTTTGCATCATTCCGTCCTATTATTCTTTATTAGCAATTCTTTCTAATAACTTCTATTTGAATGAATCAACTTAAATTAATTTATCTGCCCCCGTAACACTTCCGAATTTCCAATCACTCGTTTGTTAAGGTGTTAATATTAAATATAAAGTATCTAGGTTAGCTTTGATAGGAGCACTGGCTAGATTTTTCCAAGGAATGTTTAAATTAAGTGTTCCCAATCTGCTATACTTAACAATAAAAGGGAGGTCTAATTTTATAAAGGCTTCTGGTTTCAACCTCAGATTCTCAATCTTTGCTTCTCCACTCCAAAGTCCAACCTTCAGGGATTGTTGATCCAGACCTTCAATGTATTCTCCTAAAATTGATTAAAGGAGATTCTCGATTATTTTCTCGAACATAAATAAATTTATATAAATCATATATCTTCCCTTATTCTTTCAAATACAGGGAATCTTGGTTTACCATCATCAGTCAATCCATAGTAACTATAAGAAACTCTAGAGCCAATCTTTGGAGGATCTTTCCTTAATTTGCTATTGAATCCAACTCCAATCTAAAATGTTATTCCTGCATCTGTTTACACTTTCAATGCTCCCAATTGATCCTTAAACTTACCCATGCCACTAATGTGATCAATTACAGTAGCTTCTGAGTCCATAGTGGTCTTGACTTTTAATAATGTGTTGGATCTTTTTCCTTCATATTTGGATTATGGATCTCTTAACATCAATCCTTCCCCTCCTGCCTATTAAGCTAGGACTAGTTCTTCTTTTAAATGTTCATAACCTCTGCATACAACATGTGGAACATAAACAAGATGAGGATTTTTGATTTTTTCGATAGCCTTTTTAAGTTTGGCGTATCGATTCACAAAAGGTTCATCTAATAAAGGAGCATCAAAAACCATAAATTTGATATCCTTCCAAGCCTTATAATCAGGTTGTTTCTTTTTGGCTATGCTAACCAATTTCTAAAATTATCCTCTGTCAAGCCATAATTCTCCATCTAAATAGGTAGTTGGCCATCCTTCAACAAATGATGTAGGGAAGTTTAATGAATTCCCATTTCTAGTAAACATTTCACATCCACTCCAAATTATGCGCATGCCATCTAATTTCTCAGATAATAAATAATTTGTTGGATTAATATTCTCATTCCATTGTCCAGCCAATAAACAAGCAATAGGTTTTGTATCTCCAGGAGGACCTAGATCCAATGTTTCTCCTAAATGAGTTCTGGCTCTATATTTTGGCCATTCTCCCACTAACTTCCCCTAAGTAGCATCATCTGTCAATGCCACAACCGGTTTCCGTTATTCTGGTAGATTCACCTTCTTCAAAATCTTTTATTACATTAAATCCTTTTTGGAAGATGCAACAATTTTATCTTAGAATTGTTACTCGTTTGCCTTCAATATATCATTGCTATTGATTTCACGAAATCCCTTCTATAATTTTTACTAGATTTATTCACTCATCACTTCAATACCTCTTTCCATTGTTGGGAACTTTGTTAATGAAATTTCTATAGTCTCTTGTTGTTCTATATTGCCATTCAAAAATCCGTTCCGAATTTGAATGGTTATTGGTTTTAACTATATAAATTAACAATGCCAAAATTGATCATTCTTTATCAAGTACATCTCAGGACTTTGTTATTTTTTCATTATTCTTATAAATTTCAACTATCTTTTGAACTTTTCTTTTACATTTAAAAATCATTTTAAAATTATTACTCTCCTTTCCCAAATTAATATAATCCATTTATTTATCAATCAATCAATTTGATAATAACATAAAATATTATCAATAATCTTTCTCCTCATAAACAACTGGAGTCATTGATGATCCTTTTTGTTCAATTTTCTCAAACTTCCTCTAATTGGATGAATCTTAAGAATTATTTGAATTTTATCCCTCCAACCCAATTGAATCGTTGTCAACCATCTCATTGTATTTAACAAAATGCTCATATTTTCTGAACTCTCTACACAACATAAAACTTAACATCATAAATCCAAGCCCTAATACAAATGCAACACCATAAATTAATATTAATTAAGAATATCCTGCTCCTCTCTTTGGTGGAATGAAATTAACTGTATAATCTTTTTGAATTTAACAGATTTCTTCCTTTGTAACATTGAGTTCATCAGGACATTTTGTTGATTTTTATTTATAAACAAACTTTGTCTAATGAATCTCAGTGTTGTTTGAAAAACAATAAATTAAACTTGGAGACTAGTATATGATTAAATGTTTACTTCTCTTATAGATGAATAAAAAAATTTATGTTTAGTGAATCCAAATATTATTGTCCTTGTTTTATAATCAATATAATCTAGTTATTATAGATTAGGTATGATTATTTAATTGGATGACTAATTATTAAAACTTTGGGGTAAGGAATGCCTCAATACTTAATGGCCATTCTTACCTAATATAACAACATAATGATTCAGAATATCTACATCTTGAACATCTTTGAAAGTTTTATATTTATTAAGCTATTTGTATGTATTGTTAGTTAAATCTAATGTTATTTCGTGTACATAAGAAAATGAAGGTTAGTGCTCTATGATAATTAAAATAGACTATCTTATATCAAATATATCCCCAATCAATGGGATTGTTCCTAATTTAGTATTCATGGAGATCAAGGTTGTTATTGAATTATAAACAAATTGTTAGACACCCAATTTCTTATCTAAAATATAAATAGTATAGATTTGATCCTGGTTTTGTGAGAACACTTTAATGTCAACTACATCGTGAAACTAGTTATTTGATTCACCATTCAACACCCAGGAAATTGATTGTAAATTTTTTTCTTTAAATTAATACATTGAAATGCCCTACCTACCCATTGCAATGAAAATCATATCATTTACAGTTGTCATACTTGAGATTTAATCAACGTTGAATTAATCATATATCCTTAGTTTTGATGAATCTTCGAAAACATCAGTTTTGTTTGAAAGTTGAAATGCTAAAGTTTCTTAATCTGCAATTATCAGTAAAACTTTATTTCTGCTAAGGTATTTTAGATATACTTTATTTGCAGTATTAATATTAATCATCATTGAACTACCTAAAGTGATTGTATTAGTAATCAGTAAATGTTACAATTTACCCTATTTGGTCAAAACAATTGATCCATTTTGAATAGTGACAGCTGCTATGACTTCATCAATATTCGCATTTAAATGGCCTTCCTCATAATTCTGTTGGAAGAAAGTTTCATTAAAAGATTCAACAATATCTATATTTAATCCTGTACTTTGAACTAACTTTTGTTTAGTGAAATGACATGGTTTGAATGAATTATTTTAGTAATCAATTTCCTAATAAAAAATTTCACCAAATTGATCAAACTTGTCAATTACTTTTTCAGAATCAACCGAGATATTATAATCTTGACTTTGCACAAATATTAGTAATAAAAAAATCAGCATTATTTATTTATAATAATATAAATAATACGCTCATCACACTTACTACAATCTAGTCATATTACTGATTATAGAGAACTATGAAGTATGTGCTCCTGTCTGATTGAATTTAATTATTTTAGTTGGACTTTCAAAAGTTTGCATAGTTATTTCGTTTGATTTTGGACAAATTGGATCTAAATTATGAACAAATACATGATATTTATTGAACTCTCTTATGAGAATGACTATTATTGTAATAAAGGCTAAAGCAACAAAGAATAATATTAAATAAATTAAAAAGTTTTATTCCGTCGTTATTATTGGTTTAATCGATTATATCAAATATTCTTAAGTATAAGCACAAATTCCAGATTTATATTTCTTGCATTCTGAAATGTGTGAATACGATAATTTAATCTATTATTCCTATTCAAAATAGCATTATAAGTAACTCTACTTTAATTCTAACTTGGAATAATAGAAATTATGAAGACTAACACCCAAAAGATACAATGATCCTTTTGATTTGATAAAATTCAATTTCTACAATGAAGGCATAATAAAGTGTTGCTATTTAATTTGGTACTACGACGGAATGGAATGGAATATAACCGTGTTGCCATTTTTACCTAGAGTGATTGCAACATGATCTAAAATATCAATATCTACTATAATTGAATTTACTATATGTTTATTAACTTATTTCCAACTAAAATCGCTATAGTTCAATTAGATTTCCTAAATTATTGTTTATTAACCTTAGTAACTAGCAATCATCATAATGTTATTATAAATATCAATAATATCTCCAGAATAGGGAATAGTATCTAGTTTCTCATTTTTGTATATTAAGGTAGATTTGGGATTGTATATGAAGGATGTGACTCCCAAATCATAATCAAGTAAGTAAATATAATATACGTCAAATTCATGAAAAACTTTGAGATCAGTTGCATTATTGATTTAATACTCGAAATCAATTGAACCTAAAATTTAGCCATTTAATTAGAATATTTTTAACCCTCCAACGCCCATAGCAATAAATAACATATTATTAACAACAGCTACACTCAAGATTTTATTTGTATTAAATGATTCGTAGATGCGAAAAGATTTTGAAAATATCTTTTCAGATTTGATGTCTAATGTAATTCCAACAGTGTCTGAATACATGATAATAATCAATTGATTTCTAATTGTCTCCATAAAAGCAGGATATTGCAATATAGTAACATTAATGTTTAGATTAATTTTGTCAGAAACAATGAAGGTTTCATTTAGGAATCGAATGTAGATTAATTCTGCTTAATTTGTTAATATAACCACATCGTTCTCAATATTGACAAATGAAATGATATGAGGAATCAATCCTAAAAAGTGCCCATCATCAAAATATTGGGAAAACTACTCTGGCAAATATTAAGGTATGATCGGTAATGACTAATCTAACATATTCTGATTGATTAGTTGCTATGGTACAACTTAACAAGGAGAAGTAGTTAACCCGATTTCTGATGTTGATGTGAGATTTTGTTCTATGATGATCCCTGCAGCTGAATAATACTCTATAATTTGAGGGTATCCTATCAGTATTTCATATTACTAAAAGGAGTGCACGAGAGAGAGAGTTAGAAAAACCAACATCTTAGTATAGTTTATTATTTATATAATATGCAAATGTCACTAAATACATATAAATCAAATAGTAAATATATTCATTAGTTATTTTTAATTGAAAATATTATATTTTACCGATAAACTTTTTAATTAAAGTTTAATATGGATTAGCTCTAAGTGGTTCACATCTGAGTTAGATTCTTTAAGAATTTGTTCCAAAAACACTACTAGCTTACCCAATCCAAATCCAGAATGAATTGATAGAAACTACGTGCTTATAAAATCATGCAACAAACTCCCAATATTCTCTTTCTTTTTGAATAAATTTTCAACCTTCTTAATCATTTCTAAGAAAATTTGCAAAAGCTAATTTGAAGCCTTCTTTTAATCCTCAAGATTTCTCTCACTATATATTTACTTATTAATTTGGTATTTCAAACTTTTCAATTAAAAATGCCATTATTTATTATAGATCTCATTAGAATCGATAATATTTTTGATGCAATTTAATTAATACAGCAGCTTCTTTATTTGAATTAAGTCATCAACCTATTCCTGGAATTGATCTTAATTAAGCAAATTCTCAATATTATTATATTATAATCTATCGAATTCATAAGCAATCTTTTTAATCCCTTTATATAACTAACACTAAATTCTTTGAGAGTCTTTTGGATTCATTAGAGTGTTTTTCTCCTCTAATCTTTTAAGATTATTAGGAGATAAAGGAATCTATCTTGTGATCTCATTAATCCTTGTTGTCTGAATCTTATTTTCTAATCCCAAATTATCCAACTAAGCCAAGCTCTATACTTTTATCGACAATATATCATCACATTCTTCTGATAATTGTGACTTATAAAATATCTCATTTTTTGTTAAAATATGTTGAATTTCCACTTTTTAAAAGCCCTTTAAATACTTATAGATAGTGAGATCATTTTTTAAATAATCTATTGGAATGTGATCATGGTAGTCTTTCTAAAATATAAACTCTGGAAATTTAGATATAAAAAATTTGACAATATATATCTACCTTGTAAGAACAGCCAAATGTAGACAATTATGCTTTTATTTTTAAGTTTTCTATCTGAAATTGAATTTATATTCTTTCTGCTTAAAGATGTGTTCAATCACTTAGATGTATCCTTTTGATACAGCTAGGTGAATTGGAGTGTAACCATTATTATTTATATGATTACCATTAACTCCATTTTTTAATAGTAATTACAGAATCTTTTGGGCCTCCATTTCATTCATTTGATATACACAAAATAAGTAATGAATACTATTATTGCCATAAATATCCAATTCGTGCATTCCTACATTTCTTTTGATTAGATCAAATACAAGATAATATTACAATTTCGATACTGCAATATTCAAACAGCTCTTAGCCCATGAACTATTCATAAATTATAAACATACGCTCCTTTATTTGGGTCAGCATTTGCATACAACAAGTATCTTGCTGCTAAGTATTTCTCTTCCCAAATAGACAATCCTAAAGGAGAGTAATCTTCTTGATTAATTTCATCAATTTAAAATTTTTTTGGTTCAGAAAGAAATGTTCTCAACATCCCAATGTCTTCATCCAAAATTGTCTAATGGATTTTATATTGAATCTAGATGTCTTTGTCCTGATACTTTAATGCAAATTGTTTAAATGCAATTGAACTTAACAATTGCTTTGCAGATATTGTTTCTCCAGTGCAGCATAACTCTATTGTATGTAATAATTAATATATCAGTTCTTAAGATTGAAACAACTCTTAAACTCCTGGATCGCCATATTTAAACCAGTCTAATTAGAAAACATTTAAAGTGTCTACTTTAATTATTTTAATACATTTTAGTTTGGTAATGCTTTTAGGGATTTCTACGAAGCTGTTGTGTGAAATAAATAATTGATCAAGTTGTAACAAATCTCCTATTTCAGCACATATCCTCTTAATATGGTTTTGAGATAAATCTAGTTATTACAAATGCTGGAATCTCCCAAATTAGAATTCTTATAATAGATTATTTCTGATGAACAATATTTCTAAATTCTTTAATCCATTTAAAATATTGTAATCTATTTATTTAATGTAGTTGTCATTCAAATTCAAAGATATCAATTTTCTTAGTTTCTACAACCCATCTGGCAATTAAGTAATTCTAGTCTATTATAGTGATAAATGTTTTAAAGATTCATCAAAATCTTGTTGGTTGTTCTAAAAAGCAAACCTAGGTATTGAACTTTTTTGATTTATTTTACTACGGGTCACTTGTAATTACAAGTCATACTCCTAATCCATTTATTTTTTTATATATTATAATATTATTCCAATATAATTTATACTCAATATATCTTTGCTGAGTTGAGCATTAAATAACTATTATTATCAACCTCTCCCTTATTCAATTCTTACATAAATTAATTGTTATAGAGGAAAATAATTTGAATTTATAAATTATTCAATAACATGAAATAGTGGGAGAAACAATAAAGTTAGAAATTATATGAAAAAAGAATTCAACTTGCCAAAGCTCAAGTGCCTATCTCAAATAAAAAAAAATCAACTAAAGTAAATGAATCAATGAACTCTATTAATTCATCCATTTCAGGATTCACAAACAAAGAAAAAGAAGACAAAGAATCTATCCCTTTATACAAAATGTTGAAAATATATCAATTATAGCAATATGCATAACAACTGATAACAAGAGGATATGGGTATGATTTAGTTAAATTTGCAATGCTTACAGAAAATGAAGTTGATCATCTGTTCAACGATATCAAAGTGTTGCCAGGTCACAAAGTTAAACTTCTGAAACTTATAGAATATATTAAAGAAATCATTAAAACAAGTTTACCAACTCCTTTGAATTAATCTAAATTTCGAAACACAAGCTATGCAAAAAAAAATAGCAAAACTATAACGCAATAGAAACCTAAAACGAGTCAAACATAAAGAATAAAACCTTAATAATAATAATAGCAAGTCTTTAACAAATAAAAGCAAATGAAGATCACTAAGATAGGCTTTGATTTTTTCTAAGAAGACAGTGATTATGACGATGAATTCAATTAAGCCTTGAATTAGATAATGGAAAAATATAAAGGAGATGCAACTACTATTGTTAATTCTAATAATTAGACTCTATAAAATCAATATAGTAAACCAATATTAACAAGAACTAATAATTTTCTATAGCCAACAGCAGGACCCATTCTATGTGATAGCAGCAGAGCACACACAAAATAATAAGCCAAAGATGACATTATTCTTATTAGCAAAGTTCAAAATGATAAATTGATTACAGAAATTAAGGAGAACAAGTACTATAAAATTTTCATTTTTAAGGTTGATAAAGAATTTAGAAAAACAATTAAACCAAAAAAGAAGAAAAAATAATTATGAAGAAGATGATCATCTGCCAGATTTACAAATGTCATAAATTAGACACATGTATTTATCATATGATACTGGAAAATTGACTTCAACTCTTGTGAATTTGGATATTGAAGAAATGAGTAATTGTTTAGCTTGGGCTATTTTGAAGCATATTCAATTTAGTAAAAGGAATAATTATTCAATGATGAAAAATTCTAGCATTCCTTTTTCCATGGATTTTAGATTTCGCGGAACAGGTATGAATTACTAAGATACTTCTCAAAATCCCATTGAAGAGCCAACTCAATTGCATCTCTATAGTGAATAATAGTAACAATAAATGGGATTATTTTAATCGTAATAGATCTAAAAATTAGACAAAACCAATTTAAGCAATAAATAGAATAAAACTTTAGCCTAAATAAGTGAGAAAACCTTAAGCAAGGATGAAAATGAGTTCGATATTAAAAGGTAGGAAATAAAAGAAATATTGAAGGAAAGCTTTCTTCATTAATAAAAATTTGAAAATGATGAAAATGATGATTATTCGTAAAATGAATAAGATTACGATGTCTGTTCGGAAGAAGAAGTTGACCATTAAAATTTAAATCAGAATGAATAATAAAATGAAGACGAATCCTTTAGTCCTATAAAACCGAAATATATGATACAACAGCAAAAATAAATGGTTCGAGTGAATAATATCTCTGAAGAATCTTTACAGCATATTGAGGATTCTCAAAAAATCTACAATTATTCTCAAAGTATGCCTTGCTAAGATTAATAATCCTTGTTCTAATCAAAATTTGATTTTATTGAAATGGAAGAGGATGATAAAGAGATTAAAATTTAATACTAAAGGATATATTTTGATGCAAAAACTGAATAAGTAGTACCAACTGCTGAAGTTGTAAGTAATTATTGTAAAAATATTATCATTACATCAAAAATGGAAAAAGAGGTAACTATCCTCTGTCTTGTATATATTGAAAGATTATTAACCTAAGCAAATATAAGTCTAGAACCACAAACTTGGAGAAGAGTAGTGTTAATCTCATTAGTATTATCCTTATTCTATTCTAGATTATTGCATCAAAAATTTGGGATGATGAATCTTTTGAAAATGACAACTTTGCTAAAGTATTTCCTCAATATCGAACAAAAGACATTAATGAAATGGAAAGAATATTTCTTATCTTATTAGATTATAGACTCCAGGTGTATCCTGCAGAATATGCAAAATACTATTTTATTTTGAGAATGTACACTGAAAGCAAAAAGAAAAGCTTTCCATTACGTCCATTAGATTTAAATACTATAATGAAATTATAAAGATAATCTAATTAAGCTGAATGTGGACTGAAATAAAAATACGCATAGAGTTTAAATAAATCTTTTTGAATATAAAAATAACTAATGTCAAGATTTAATATATGCTTTTTACTTTATATAATTTCATCTAATAGAAAATTTATTTATTTTTCTTCATGTCTACAAATTTAAATA